TGGTGCCCTTTAACCTTGGAGGCTGACACATCATTTATCAATTCTCTGCAAAAATGGTGGCGGAGGCAGGATGCTCTCAGGGCAGGAGAAAGGTGCCCAGGGCCCACCTCCAGGAACACCTGCCGGTAAAAGGAAGCCCAGGCAGAGGAGCCAAAGGGACCCCCATGGCGAGGAAGCTTTTTCCTCGGGCCTGATGCGGGCCGGGAGAAAAGCCGGGAGCCCACAAGATGCGGCTGCGCTTGGACTGCAGAGTTAGTACCTCCACCCGCTTGGCTTCTCTCCCACCCCCACCTGGGTGCTGCCCCCCTGCTGGGCGGGGGGATCTCCAGTGGAAGAAGAAAGGGCAGGGAGGCGCATGTCTGATGATGGCCAAGCGCGCTAGTCTTTCCGTGATGTGGGGAAAAAACGCTCCGCCTCCTGAAGACGAAACGGAGTGAGAGGCTTCGCTGCCCACCTCCCTGAAAAGGAAGAAGGGACGTTTCTGTTTCTCTGTACACTCGTCCTGGCTTGGTCAGCTTCTGCCGATTGAATAATTAACTGGTGAACTCATGCGGTATCCTTTCCTCAAGGGGCCGACTTGCTGTAAAGTAAGAGGAGAAATGGGCGCTTGTTGGCTTTTCTTATCAAGAATTCCTCAAAGGAACTTGAAGTGTTTAACGTGGGTTCCATTGTTAGAAGCCTCCGAGATCTTCCGCTTCTCCTGCTCTCGCTTCTCACCAAAGAGGATCGTTCCCAGTCACCTCCCGCTGGTCTTTCCACCTCTGGTTTGGGAGTCTTTGGAGGTGAACCTCTTTGCTCCCAGGAGCCCCTTTGGATAGGAACAAGCTACTGGGGTGGGGGGTCCTGGGGTGGGGTCCCTCCCTCCCTGGGGTAGGTTTGCCCTTCTGGTCTTGGCAACTGGTCAAGGCAGCAAATGGTGCTGATGGACAGGGCTGGGAGGCGGGTAAAATAAGGAGCCCTTTGGGCACTGAGCCATGGAGAGAGATGCCACGGAGGTGCCAAATCTCGGGGGGGGGGGGGGGGCTTCCAGGATGGATGCGCTGCCAAATTGGGAACCACCAACTGCTCCCGGCTGGCATTGAGGCCGGGGGGAGGGGAGGGGAGGGTGACTGGAGGAGAGCCTGGCCATGCCCGGGCCTCTCGCCCTTGACTGCCCCCCAGTCCCCCCCCACCTCCTGGGCCTGGGGGATTTCCCTACCTGCTCTTTGGGGAGATCCTTCTGGCCCATACCCCAGGTGTGCCAGAGGCAGCCGCTCTGCAGCCTGGCATCTTCCCCTGGCAGCACCATCGGCCCGTGCCTTGCTTGGAATCCCCTCGTGAATGGGGCCTTGCCTGGGTGCTGAGCTGCCCACCCCCAAACCAGCAGCTCCTGTTTTTTTCTGCCAAGCGTGGCTGCCTTTGGCCCTCGTGAGGCTCCTACGCGCCCGGTGAGCTGAGGATGGAACCCCCTTGAGTGTAACAAGAAGGAAACCGAGGCAGGTTGTGGGGCAACAGTTGCTTCTCCAACCTGGGCGAATGGCCACCCAGTTCCCCCTTTCGGAGTCCCCGCTGGCTTTGCAAGGGGCTGCTCCCTCCGGGCTTGTAGTCGGCCCTTGTCGTCTTCTGCCCCGCAGAGCTTGAAGGGAGCCTGCAACCCCTCTCCCCGCTTCCTGCAGCCCTCGGAGGCCTTTGGAAAGGAGCCCAACCGAAAGAGCTTCCCAACCGGAGAAAGCCATCGCTCTTCCCCTCCCCCATGTTTGGCAATGGCAACCATTTGGGGAGCAGAGCTGCCCTCTCAACGTCGCTTTGTGGCAGAAATGGCAGGTCAGTGAGACGCCCCTCCCCCCCAGCCACATGCCCCAAAGACTTTGGAAACGCTCCTCCCATCTCCGGGCTGCCATTCCCAGATCCCAGGGCATTGGCCTCGTTTTCGACAGAGGAGGGGCCATCCTCCCCTTGCTTCCTGGAAGGAAGCCCGGTGCCTGGGCTGCCCCTGATCCTGTGGGCATCCTTCTCTTCCCATTTCCTCCCTGCACCCCCAGGTCTCCGCTTCAAGGCAACTGGAAGGCAGTGGTGGCTGCCTTGCTGGGTGTTCAGCGCAAGCCCCCCCCCCCGTCTCCCCCCTCCCTTGACCCACGGCCTTCCTTTCTCCTCCTCTGGGCCAGGCCTGGTGGGGTGTCGTGGATATATTCCTTTTGGGCTTGGGAGCGGTTGGGGATTCCAGGCTGGCCTGCTGCCCATTGCCATGGGGGGAGCCCAGAGCTTAAAGAGAGGCGATTCTGAGAGCGCCAGCACTGCTTCTCCTGCAAAGGTCACAACTGCTCACGAGGAACGGCCATCCATCCTTCCAGCTGATGCAGGGACAGGAAGCCCAGCCCCACAGACCTCACTGCCTGCCCTGAAGGCGGCCAGTGGACGGAGCTCCTGGTGCCCAGGTTGGCTGGGACCTTTTCCTGCAGACCACCTTGGAAAGGCAGCCTTGCAAGAAGAACCGCCCCAAAGTCTGCGTGGTCCTTGTCCGCGGAGCTTTCCAGCCACTCAGGCGTGGAGCGACTGGGGCCAAGGCTGACCTTCCAAGGCCCCCTTCTTTAGCCCCGGCGTTCCCAAGACCTCAGATCAGCGGACTTGATCCTGGCAGCCTGTGAATGTTGTTCCTGCTGGACTCCCCACCATCCGCTTTGAACTCCTTGCTCTCCCATGCCAGACCAGTCAAGAAGATTTATGGTGCTGTCTTCGGAGGGCCCTGCTGTAGCCTTAAAAAAGACACTCGCTTGCCAGGAGCACGTTCGTCCTCTTGTAACCGTTACTGAACCCAGAAGGGAGTTACGGGGCGGGGGGTGGGGTGGGGGGGGAATGTGGACTTTTTGAATGGAATACTCGGAAATCCAGCAAGCCTAAGGAACCTGAGGATCTAGCAGGAGCCCGCAATCCTTCCCGTCTCCCAGGTTGAGCCGATGCCCGGCGCGGGAGGGGCTCCCCAGGGGCCACCTCTCGCTGAGCGAGCGCTCCCCTGGGAGGCCCCGTGATCTCCGCAGAGATGGGCAGCCAAGGAGGGAGGGGCACCTTGCCTGGCCCTTCTGCTTCCTGAGGGTCAGCGGAAGGTTCTGGAGCAAAGAGCCCATCCTGAAGAGAGAGCGCTGCTGCTTCCCAGGAGAGTCGATGGGCTCAGGCTCCTGATGTTTAATCGGCTGGAGTCTGAATTGGTTGGGCTGGAGCGGCAGGATGGCTCCCTCTCTGCTGCCTTCCGGTCCCTTCTTCTGAATGCCCCCCCCCTCCACTCCTGCCCCCCCTGACTTTCAGTCCAGAGGGGAGAGGAGGGGCTGGATTGGGCCCTTGGGATTTTGAAACCGTTTCTGTCCCAATAGTTGCTGTGAAAGGAAAAGACGGGGCTTGCTGGCTGTGTCCGTGTGCCTGTCCAGGTTTCCTTCAAGGCAGCTGCTGAAGGCGGTCTGGATCCTCTGGCGGCTCTTTCAAATGTGCCAATGCGGAGCCTTTGAATCGGGGCAGGTGGGGGGGGGACGGAGGGATTTGGAGGTAGGTTGCAGCAGAGGGTTCCTTTAGCCCAGTGGCCGGAGCAAGGGGCCTTTCAAGCACCTGGGTCATCAGGTTAGCCCCCCTGCTGCACCTCAGAAAGGGATCCATGTTGGAATGTCTTCCAGGTGCAGAGACACGGACAGGTCACTAAGATCGCCAGAAGGCAATGAAAGCCTCTTGGCTCAGGTGAGCCCTGGACTGGAAGGCCCGAAAGTTTGCAGGGCCAGGTGCCTCCAGAGCCCTCCGCTCTTCCTTGGTTCACCCCCATCGACCGCTAAGGACCCTCGGCTGCTTTTCAGGCCCGCCATGGCTTCCCCAAGGAAAGCCTGTGACGACACCTCTTCCCAGCTGGCCGGGAGGCAGGCATCCCGGGAGGGAGGGCCGGGTCCCGTTGCACAATGTTTGTGGTGCTGGCAGGCGTACAGGCCATTAACACATCAAATGCGGCAGGACTGGTAGGAGAGCCTGGGAGCGGCCGCATGGGTTGTTCTTCCTGATCTCAGGTCCTTTTACAGTTTTTGTTTGGCAAATGGACAGATTGCAGTGGTGCCTTTGAAGTGGACGATGATGTTTGGATAATGTTTCCTTTCCCCATTCATCTCCGCTGAGGAGCAGCCGCCTAGAGCCGGATCGAACGGGCAGCGTCCTCTGAAGGCACCAGGCGCTTATCCGAGGCCAGGCAGGCACAGGGCCCTCCCCCGCAGGGCCTTTAGCCTTGGCTCCCCGGGTGCTGCCCGACAATCCTCCCCCCAGGTTGAATCCCTGGCGGCAGCCCCCCCTTGGCCGCTGTGCACGAACACCCCCATGACGGTGGGGCCCTGGAGGCAAAGCCTGGGCAGGAGGGGCAGGTCGCCCCACCGGTGAGCCCAGCTGCTGGCTGCCTTGGAGCTGGCCCAGCCCCAGGCTTCGCCCTCCTGGTCCTCGTGGGCCCTCAAACATGGGGGGGGGACCGTAGGTGACTCATCCCGAGAGGAAATAAAGCCCCCCCCCTCCTCCAAACTTCGTCCAAGAGTCTTGCGGAGAAGCCCCAATTTGCTACAGAGGCCGATGATTCCCTTTCGCTGATAGCTGAACTTTATGGCCCCAGTGGGTGAGGACGCGTCTCCTCTGACCTGGATCACAATTCTGGAGCTTTCTTTTTTCAAAAAGAAAGTGATGCAGCTGCAATAATATTCCCTCCAAAACCTGTTCTCCCCCCACTTCCATTCGGAAAGGAAAATACTGCTACTGAGGAGAAGGCCTCGCCTGGCTCGGCTAGGCCTCTGGAGGGTCCCACTGAGGAACAAAGGGGGCCACCCTTGAATGGGAGGCTTGAAGGAAAATGAGGGTTTTCTTCGGGTGGCCACGGCTAAAATTGTGTACCAGATTTTAGGTGAACTCAAGAGACTCCCCAGGCTGATGGTTACCTAACAATAATTGTTTATTTGGAATTGCACACACTGACACCACACATATAATGTAGAGTATATAGTATAAATGCTTATTGCTAGCACAGGTCTTTCGGAAGGTACACAAGAGAAAAAGGAAACTTCTTTTCACCATGAATATTGGCTATAACAAGACAACTAATTTCTTAGAACATTTTTGGTTTAAAAAAAAAAAAGCACAGCCTTCTGCAATAACACTACAGGATGTGACATTCATGTTGCACAGCTCAGGGATAATATTTGTATCTTGCTTGTGCTTCACCACTGGCAGAGAAGAAGAGCTGCGACCAGGCCCTGGCAGAGAACGCTGGAAGGGGAGGGAGGACCGAGGCAGCCCTGGCACTCGGAGGGAGCTTCTCCTGTGCCAGGCAGGTGGAAACGGGGGGCACCTGCACGCACACCCACGGGGCGCAATGAGGCTTGTCTAGAAGATGCCTGCTACTCTGCGGCCCCTGTGCTGCCTGGAGCCAGTCTTGGGCGCGGCCTGTCTCCGAAGGGGCCGAGGGTTTCTGGCCCAGGCTCATTTGGGAGACCCATCCACAGGATGCAGCGGTCCTCCCAACAGGCCAAAGGTGGCCCGAGAGCCCCGGCTCAGCGCAGCAGCCCCTTCAGCCTCTGGGCTCCCGAAGCCCTGGGAGGCAGCCTGGGCTTTGGCCCAGCTCCTGGGGAAGCCCGGCCAGATCTGGCCAAGTGCTGTGCTGAGGCTGGCCGTGCGGTTCCCAGGAGCCCCCAGCTCCACAGCCAGGAACGGCGGGGTGTCCAGGGGCCCCCAAGTGAGTTGAGGGCCCCTTCTTTTGGAACAAAAGTTGCTGCCTGAGATCATTTCAATGGGGATGGGGGTTCCTGCTGGCGTAACTTGGCTCCACCTGCCGACCTACAGCTTCCCGGCTTAATTCCAGCCGCCTGTCGGTAGGCCGAGGTTTGTGGGGCCGTTTGTTCTCCTCAAAACCTCTGCCAGTAGGGGAAGGGACGGCTGTTTGGTCACCCAGGGGAGCCACTTCAAAGGGGGCCAGGTTGGCACCTGGGGCAAAATCGTCTGGGGAGCTGAGAGTGAGGGAAGAACCGCCTGGATGATCGGGACTTTGGGAGTCAGCTCCCCAAGCGACTCGGAGGCACCTGAGCAGGGGAGGAAAGGATCTGCCTCCCCCCCCCCCAAAGTGCCTTCTGCAGCCAGGCAAGGGGAGTAAATGGAGGCTCCCAGAAGCCCCTTCCTGAAGCAGCGGAAAGTGCTGCCTCTTGGTGACCCCCAGGGAAAAGAGAGGGAATGGGGGAATGGCTGCCGCCTCTCCAAAGCCCTTCAGGAGCCCCAGCCGGCCAAGCCACCTGTTCCTTCCACCCGAGGAGAGCTGGCAGAGCCTCCCAAGGCAATGGCACGGGCAGCGGGATGGCTGCCCACCAGGTGACCCAGGCCTGCCTGGCTGTGTGGCCCAGAGAACCAAGGGGCTTTCCCCGCCAGGGGCTCCTCCCGCAGCTGGGGAGGGGGCCGTCGTCCAGCGCAAGCGTCTTTCCAAAGGTCAAAGGAGGGCAGTGTCAGCAGTGGGAAGAGCCCCAGGTTGAATCAGGAAGGCGGCTGCCATGTTATCTTAAACCAAACAAACATCAGTGTCACTTTTTAACAATTCCTGAGTGCTCAGTGGTCCCTCTGGAGAACGGCAGAGGCGCGTCTGGTGCTGGGGAGCCCCCTCCTCCTCTTAGGAGTTCTTCTGAGGAATCCGGATGGTCACCGTCTTCACTTCGGAGTATTCTCGCAGGCCATACTCTCCCCTGGCCGCAGAAGGAAGAGGAGGCATCAAGGCCGGGCCTGGTGCCCCCAACCAGCCCTCGGAGGAGCCTGGGCCGTGGGCAGGGCCAGTCCCTACATCGGCCGGAGGAGGGTCAAGAAGGATGTGGACAGCTGGGACTCACTCCCCCAAGGAGGAAGACCGGAGCCAGGCACTCTTGTCCAGCTGGGCAGTTCCAGGCAAAAAGGGAATCCTGGTGGGCTCCCCCCCCCCCCAGTGTTATCCAGCAGGGGGAGCTGTTCTCCCACCCCACCCTCAACTTCCCCTTGATGGGGGGGGGCTGGGACCCTCTAGATTCCCCCCCCCCTCCAGAATGACCTGCTTACATTTCTCTTCCGTTGCCGGACATCTTGTAACCCCCGAAGGGACTCTGGGCATTTAAGGCGTTGTAGCAGTTGACCCTGGATGAAAAGAGGGAGAGGGGCATGAGGGCAGCCCCCACCTCTGCCCCCACCCAGGACCACTGCCCAGCTGTGCTCCCAGCCTCACCAGACAGTTCCTGCCTGCATGGCGGAGGAGACGGTCAGCGCCTTGTTGATATCCCTGGTGAAGACAGCAGCCACCAGCCCGAAGTCGGAGTTGTTGGCCCTCTCGATCACTTCCTCCAGGGTTTTGAACCTCAGGATTTCTTGCACAGGCCCAAAGATCTGGGGGGGGGGGGGGGGGGGGGGGGAAGGGGGGGGGGAAAGGGCATGGAGGGGAACAAGGATTTGTGTGCTAGCCCTGTGTGAGGCTTCAGAAGCACATGGGAAAGGATGGCTTTGTAGACGCACAATTAATTGCACAAAAGAAATTCACGAAGCTTTCAGCCTGGGGCAATGGAAAACAGAGGAACAATGGGAACGGCAAAAAAGGGTGTGCCCCAGAAATGTTCCCCTTGAGAAAGCGACACACAACCCACCCCCCCACCCCCCCGAAGAGACCCCAGCTGCAAGGCCGAGAAGCACCCAGTGACACCTCCTCGGACCAGGGAAGGGCGGGAGAAGCGCCTCCGGCCAGTTCAAAAGAGACTGGCTGTCCCTGGGATGGACTTATTGGTGGCTCTTCCAGGAAGCCATGGAGATAGATGTTGGATCAACAGCCAAGTAGGGCCCTATGGCCGATCAGCTCAGGTGGACTTGGGGGTCTGGGTGAGCCCAACAGAAGGAGTTGAAATCACAGCAGGGGAGGGGAGAGGGGAGCCTGGGGGGGGGGGGGGCAGTTGGGTACCTCTTCCTTGGCGATTCGCATGTCATCAGTCACGTTGGAGAAAACGGTGGGTTCAATGAAGAAACCCTTGCGCCCCAATCCTTGGCCCCCGCACTCCAGCCTGGCCCCTTCTGCCACGCCGCTCTGGATCAGCTCCAGGATCTTGTTGTACTGCTTCTGGTCGATCTGGAGAGAAGAGGGAGAGGGGACCCTCTTTGGCACTCCTGCCCCGCCTTCTGGTCCAGCTCCCCCCCCCCCGCCCTGCCATGGAGGGTCTCTCCCAGCCGCTGGCCCCAGGCACGAGCAGCCCACCCACCTGTGGCCCTTGCTCGGTGGTGGGGTCAAAGGGGCTGCCCACAACTCTCCTCTTGGCCCGTTCCACGCTCCTCCGGACGAACTCCTCATAGATGGGCTCCTCCACGTAGATGCGGGAGCCGGCCGTGCAGCACTGGCCTTGGTTGAAGAAGACCCCTTGGTGGGCCTGCTCCACCGCCTGCTCCACTGCAAGGCCAGAGAGAGACCCCTAAGGCTTCACCCAGCAGTGTCTGGCCCTCGGGGGGGGGGGGGGGGCTGCTGGACCAGGGGCTTAAAAGCCCAGCGCATCCCGTGGCTTGAGGGGGGGTGTGTCTCTGCTGCATGTGGCTCTGCCCACAATGGACTCATTCCTGGCTTTGCTTGCCCAAGCCGGGCTGGATAAAATCTGAGGCAAGGCCGAACGGGCCCTGGGTTCCGATGCAAAGGCAGGAGCTCCAGCCCTTTGCCTCCTTTGCCTGCTGGGGTCCAGCCTGGACTTTCTTTTGAGAGATGGTTTGGGTGATTAGAAAAAATATTAAAAAATAATGTAAGTCACGCTGCGTTCATAGAATTAGAGGTTAGTCTACATTGATAACCACTATAAAAGAAAATCAAAAACCACCTTTTCTTTCTCTTTTTTTTCCTGCACTTTGGCCTTTTCTCTTTATTTTAAATATCATTTCTTAGTTTTCTGTCTTCTAGAAAGAGAGGGAGGGTTGTTCTGAGGAGTGCACTGCAAAGAGGCCAACTTACAATCTGCGTCCGCAAAAATAATGTTGGGGCTCTTCCCCCCAAGTTCCAGCGTCACCCGCTTCAGGTTGCTTCTGCCGGCTGCTTCTTGAACCAGCTTCCCCACCTGAAAGGAGGAAGAAGGAGGAGGAGGAGCCTACCCTTGCCAGGGCTCCGGGCAGAGGGTGCCACTTTAATCCCTCCACCAGCCCTGCTTTGGGTGGGTCAGAAGCAGTGGGGAGATTAGATTGGCACTAGCCACGAGGGAGACATGGGTGGGGGGCAGGCCGGTCTCGGTTCTTCTCAGGTAAGGCCGAGGTTTTACTCAAAGACAGGCCAGTAGTGCTTGGCTCTACTGACACCCTTTGCACCCTGTTACAGAAGGCCTGATGGAAACAGATTTTACATTGGTTCGATTCGCACAGAGCGAGGTTTCTCTGACTTCAGAACTACCAAATAACAGCCCAATAAACGTATGCAATTTCGGGGGTGTGTGTGTTAAGGGTATCAAAATCCTATTTGTTCTCCACCCTCATTCATTCATATTCTTTGATCCAGTTTGATTTGAATTGCTTTCTTTGTAACTGGTTAAAAACTCTGTCTTAAATTTGTGGTGAGTTGCTTTGGAGATGTGGTTTATGGCCGAATGGTGACATTAAAAGGGAGGAAAGGAGGTCTTGCAGGTATCGGACATCTGGAGCACCCCAGGCTCATGCAAGCCTCTAGGAGGGGCCCATTTGCTGTGCAAACAGGGGGGGCCCTCTCGGGCCGACATGGAAATCTGCTCCCTGAACCAGCTGGCAGTTGGTGTGCAGCTCTGGTGCCCGGCTAAGCTCCTCCTGCCAGACCAGCTACCACTCCGTCCAGGAGGCGGCTCTGCCCACCCTCCATGCAGACCTGGGTTGTAGCCAAGGAGGGTGGGAGGCTGGAGCAAGACGTTTCAGGTCCCAGGTGGAAAACGGAAAGGAGCTGCCCCCCAGGGGAGGACCCGTATCTGTGTTCGGGTGGAACTTGAGGGGGGGGGAGGCCCTCTGGGCACGGGAGGGCTTCTTTTGGCGCCAAGAAGCCTGCTTCCCTGACCTCCTCCGCTGGCTTCTGGGCTTCCATGGCTGGGAGCAGCTTCCTAGCCTTGCAAGGAGGCCCCGTTCAGGGTTGCCACTGAGATGGAGATCACTGCCCCGTTTGGCTAGAGGATCTGAAAAGAGGTCCAGGAGCCAGGCAGAGAGGCGGGGGGCTCCGGGTGTCCAAGATGCCCTGGGAAAGGTGCAGGGCCAGGAGGTGGCTGGCTGGCCAGGAGGCTCTGGCAAGGAGGCAGGAGGCGCCTGCTGAGAAGGGCAGCGATGATCAGCGGTAAGACAGCTGTTTGCTCCAAACGTTTGCTTGGCGTGAACCAACATTGGCCTCTCCCGTAGTTTGCTTTGATGGTCCTGCCCCGTATCTTGTTGACTAATGATGAACTCATGCTTTGTTCAGCTCTTCACGGCAGAAAGAAAACACCCTCCCCGGTGAGGCAGGCCCCCTCTTTCCCAAGCCTTTGATCGACGTTGTTGAGGGACCTGGCCAGGCCTCTTGGACCTTGCACCAAAACCATTCAAAGCAGAAGGAGTCCAGCTCGCTGGGGCGTGTCTCTGCGGCACCACCCAAACCCCCGTCCATTCATCTCCACGCACCAGCCGCCTCCGATGGCCCAGGGAAAGGAAACTTGGATCGAACTTCAATTGTTCTGAGATGAGTCTAGAGTTTCTGTCTGCAGGAGATGGGGGGGGTGGAGGGGGGGGAGGAAACCTAACTCATCTTTTGAGAGGGAACAACAATGCCGCGGCTTTGGGACAGAAACTCTAGCTAAGCTCTGGGAATTTACAAAGCTCCCCCAGGAGGAGCCAAGCGCAATGGGGCAATCTACGGTGAATTATGGCTTTCCAGCTCCCAAAAAACGACACCCAAACCGGCCTTCCTGAGTAAATCCCAGTGTCTTGCTGGCCTTTCCTCCCCCAAGGGCTTGCCCGAAGGGATCAGGTCCGGTCAGGCGTTCGGTTTCCAAGAGCCCCCAATCAAGAAATTCCCAGGCAAAGAATTTTTAAAAAGTCCAACTGTGGTTATGGCTACCAAATGTCAGGCGGAAGAGACACCCTGCCAGACCTCCCAACTTGGGAGCGATAACGGCCTTTTGTCAGTTGTCCTAGGAAGCATTTCCCTGCCTCCATCTCGTCTCCTCCATGGCTTCCTGCGGCTCAAGAGGCCTAAGGGAAGACCTTCACTCCCAACCAGGTGAAAAGGGGGCAGGGAACACCCCTCCACCTTTTGTCTCAGAGGTGGAAAGGAAGCAGAAGGCACTCCAGCCCCCCGGGGGGGGGCACGGAAATGACCCACCGATGCACCGTTGCCTGCCTGCCTCCCCAGCCAATGTGGGGCATGCAGAGCAAGGCTGACTTGGGACAAACCCGGTTGGCCCACAGCCTTGCAGCCTGGATCCATTGGTTGCCCAGGGAAAGGTGAGCGCAACTCAGAAATGGCAACGGTGCCACGCAGCTGAAGGACAAGGATCAAAGGAGCCCCCTTCAGAGGGGCAGTGGGGGGGGGAGCTGGTAGAAAGGGAAGAGAAAAGCAGGAAACCCCCCTCCCCCCGCCAGCTTCTCCGAATGCTGCCTTGCAGACGAAGGGAGCCACAGAAGGTAAAGGAGAAGCTGGCAGTCACCATTCCTCTGGCGGAGAAGGGGGGGCGTTTTGCCCGTTTCCCCACTTCTGATGCCTGGGGCTCAGGCACAACTTTGGGAAAAATAAGGGCTGCTTATTTGGGCCTGCTTTGCAGCGCCGTCTCTAATGAGCCATGGATGAAAAGCTGGCGATGGGGGACCGCGTGGGGAAGTGACCCATGACCAGGGAGTTTGGCGGAAGACAGACCCTGGCCGTGAGAGGCTCATGGGCCGCCAGCCCTCCACCTGCGGGAGGTGAGCCCTGCACAGAGGAGGGGGCTCGAAGGGGGCACATCAAAGGGTCCCGGGAGGAGCATCCATTCTGGTGCCCAAGCAGGAGGAAAAGGAACGGGGCCGGGACCCTGGAAAGGCTGGAAAGGCCGAGCCAAACCTGCATCCCTCCCGGCGGAGGAGCCACGCTCCTCAGGATCAGCCTGGGTGAAGCTGCAGACCTTCGCTGCAGGAGGCCTTCCCGTGACCAGCCCGGGCCGGGATCCTCTCGTCACCAGAAACCCTCCTGAATTTGGCGGCACCTTTTTCCACCCCACCCCGCGGGGGGGGGGGGGGGGGGGGGGGCGGCAGGGGCACAGCTGAAGAACAGGTGCCGCCTTGGTTTCCAGCCCCGCCATGACAGAGGCTCGGCCGGCCGAGGGTCTCTTCCTACGCAGCCTAAGGATTCTGGGGGAAAGGCCTGGCCGGCCAAGGGCTGCACGGCTGAGCGTGGCATCAAGAACGCCTTTGGCTACGGGGGAGTAAAAGAAAGAGGGGGAGGGGTGCAGGGGGCTGGCAAGCTTGCCCGCCAGCCCCCGAGGACCAGCCAGCCGGCTCCAGGGGGGATCCGAGCCCCACCGGAGGACCGCAAAGCCTGCGTCTTTTGAGACGTCGGTGGGCCTGAGCCGAAAGCTGCTCTGGTGGCTGGAGCTGAGTCTCTTGGGTAGCCAGGAGCAGACCAAGAGCCCCGGCAAGGCCTGGTGGGGTAGCGAGGGGGCTTCTCGGGGCCCAGCAGTCCAAGGAACGTATCTCGAGGCCTCTCCGGAAGGGACTCGGCTGACCGGCTGCTCCAGGAATTCCACAGGACAGGAAATCAAAACCAAGACGAGGCAGTTTACACTCAAGCTGATCAAAATATTCCAGCTGCTCCTGCTCTAGGTTCTTCGAGAACGGCCTTTTTCTTCTTTTTTTTCACCCTGCAATGCTTTTCTCTTCCTGTTACCAGCTTTTCAAAGCAAACAACCGAATCTGGGCAAAATCCAGAGCATGTTAATTTTAAACGCCCATTAAAACGAAAGCCCTCTGAAATGACAGGGAACATTTATTTTGGCTGCAATCGGCAGTTCTGAAACCGAACCTTTCCGTGTTTCCTTCCCACAGTAAGTCAGCAGCAGCCCGTGCGAGAGTCTCCGCTTAACCAAACACTGGAGGCTGGAGCTGTTCCCCAAATTCACCAGCACAGGCCGGCTCCCCAGTCTCTAAGGGGAGGCCGCTTCCCTCATTAACCTGGGTGAGTCATGGAAGGTGCCTCGAGGGGGTGAGGCTGGGGGACACACACACACACACAGAGCAGGGAGGACGCAATTACACACAAGGTCTGGGAAAGGATGGGCAGACGGGTTGCCACGACTGGAAAGGCGCCCAAGTACTGGCCCCAGCACCAACCACCTGGCACCCGCTTTCTCCCTGAGAGCTCCGGTTCCTGAAGGGATGGGGGATGCTCTCTTCTCCCCCCAGCCCCCACCCCACGGCACCCACTCTTACCTCTGTGGAACCTGTGAAGGCGATTTTATCGATCCCTGTGTGCGAAGCAATTGCCGCCCCCACCGTGGGTCCAAATCCTGGCAAAATGTTGACCACGCCTGGAGGAAACCCGGCCTGTGAAGGGAAGTGGGCAGGGAGGGAGGGAGGGAGGGAGGGCACGGCTGAGCGAAAGCCGGGGAGAGCAGGGGCCCGGGGCCACGCACCTGCCGGGGGCTCCTTACCTCCTTGATGAGGGTGCCCAAGTAGAGGGCGGTGAGTGGGGTTTGCTCGGCCGGCTTGAGGACCACCGTGTTGCCACAGCAGAGGGCTGGCGCAATCTTCCACGCAAACATCAGGAGGGGGAAGTTCCACTGTGCAGGCAGAAGATTTCCGTGGTGAGTCAGCCAGCGCATCGTTTTAGTCAAGGGAAAAAGGGGCTGCGAACCGGTTGGCCGGATAGGTTGGCTTCGTCCTGATCCTCGCAGCAACATTCCCCTGCCTTCCAAGAACCGGCCGGGGGGAGCAGGTGCCACACAAGCTGGCACAGGGAGGCTGGCACAGCGGGCCCCTTAATGCCCCCCTGGGAGCCCTGCTCCGTTTTCCAGACTTTTCGGCACCCTTCCTGCCAAAAACCGGGTGCCCCGAGGGAGGGCTGGCTATCCTCTGCCTGCCCAGGGGGAGAGCGGCCCTTCAACTGCATTGCTCAGCAGACCCTCCGGGTCCCCTGGGAAGACTGGCCCGGCGGTCCTGGGGCGTCTCAGGAAAGAAGGCCCAAGGTATGGCACCCACTGCCTCCCTGCTGGGTGCCCCAACATTTCGGATCTATTGAAGGCAAAAGGTGAAATGCCTCCACGAGGGTTTCTTTTCCTTTCTTTTCCTTTCCTTTCTTTTCCTTTCTTTTTTCTTTTCTTTTCTTCCTTCCTTCCTTCCTTCCTTCCTTCCTGTCTTCCTTCCTTTCCTTTCCCTTCCCTTCGTCCTTCCTTCCTTCCTTCCTTCCCTCCCTCCCTCCCTCCTTCCCCCCCTCCCACCTCTGCTTCGGTCTCTCTTGGCCCCCAGCCACCAAAGGCTGCTGGGTTGTTTGGCTTTGCTCGCTCTGGTCCTGGGAATTCTGGGGCTGGAGGCTCCCTCATGGCGCTGCTCTAAAACTCTATTAAGATGTGCAAACAAGCAGAGGGGAAGGGAGACGGACGGCCACGGATCCGCCTGCCGTGTGTTTCCCCCCCCCCCCCCCCCCCCCCCGCCCCGGCCTTGCCGCCCCTAATGAGAAACACACCCGGGCTGAAGCCCCTTCAAGGGAGCCGATTCCAATGAAAATAAATACGAGGTGCAGCGGAGAGACTCACCGGGATGATCTGTCCACACACCCCGATGGGCTCATGCCTCGTAAAGGTGAAATAATCTCCGTCTGGAAGAGAGGAGCCTGGTTACTCTCACGAGCACCCCAAGAGGAGCAACCAGAGGGAGAAGGCCAGCTGTGCGTGCGTGTGTGTGTGTGTGTGTGTGTGTGTGTGTGTGTGTGTGTGTGTGTGCAGATAAAAAAGAATGAGGGTACCAGGGCTACTCTGGGGAGCATCACACTGCCAGCTACGAAGGCCAACTGCTCCCATCCTCTGGCCCAAACAAGCACGCGCGCACACACACACACACACCCAAGCCTTTCTCCCTTTCAGGGGCTCCCTCTGCTCCTTGCGCCAGAGCCCACCGTCTGCCTTCAGGAGGGGCCAAAGCCGCCCGACCTGCTGACCGATTCTATGGACTTCCTGGCTCTTCTGCTCTGAATGGGGCCCAGTCCGGTCCCTGCCTGGGAAGGCTCAGTTTGGAAGGGCTGATGCGAGCCAGCACCCACCGGGCATGTTTTGGCTCAGAGGCCAACCAAGCAGGACCTGGCCAGAGAGGCCTGGCGATGCCGGACATCGCTTGCCTGGCAGAAGGCTGCAGCCGATCCGGGGGATGCCGGGCCCAGACCCAGCCAAAGGAGAGAGGAAGGGTCTGCCCTGGCCTCAGGCGAGGTGGGAGGGCTTCTCTGGGACTTGGGCCGTTTCTCCAGAGCTTCTGAGAAGGACCCTGCCAGTTCTTGGTCGTGAGGAATGGCATCCCAGGCCCAGCCTTGTTCCCAGCCGGACTCGGATCAGCCCCGGGACATCCTTTGCCTGGCCCTATTTCCCACTCCTTCCCGCCGAACATTTTGGGGAGGGGGCTGGAGGGAGGAGGACCTGCCTGGCCAGCTGGGATCTGCTTTGGTGAGCAGTGATGTTTTCAAGGCATTCCAAGGAGCCGCACAAAGACTGGCCAGTTATCAGCAAAAAGGGAGCGGAGAAAGGAAGCCGGTGCAGATACGGGAAGCTTCCACCCCACGGAGGGGGGGGGGGGGGGAGGGCCCGGGAGGCTAATTAGGGAAAGGCCCAGGGGAGATAAAGGGAGATGGAGCCCCCCCACCTGTCCTCCTGTTGGGTAGGCCAGAGCCATCTGGAGGGCATCAAGTCTGGGCAGGCCCTACCAGGCAGGGCAGCTGCAGCCAGCTGTTTCTCAGGGAGGGGCTGCCTCTCCCCCAAGGGATGTTTGGGACTTGACCAGTTGCTGACCGACCCCATTTGGGAAGCCACAGACCCCAAACCAGGGGCAGCAAGGAGCCATTTTCTCTGCTCTGCCGAGCGATTCAGAGTCCCTGCGCCTGGACGAAGGCAAGAGGAGGCAGGCGGCAAATGCCAGCCCCAGACTTCCAGGCACATTGTTTCCACAGGTCACCCCTCCTGGAGTGGGCTGGATTCTTCCTGCCCTGCCGGGGCCCGCTCCTTCCACTGAGAAAGGCCCCACGGAAGCTGCCGGGGGCCCAGGAGAGCTGAGACGGCTACCTGCCAAGCTGGGGGCTCTATCTCTCCAGAAACCTACCTCGGGGGTGGGCGTTCGGGCACTCGGGACTTCCCTTAAGAGGCCCCGGACTTTGGGGCTTGATCAGCCGGTTTGCTGTCCAATTTCACCCGGCTCGGCCACATGGCACCTCCTTTTTCAGGGCTGAGATGGGGCCCCCGAGGGTGAAGCTTGAGGCCAGGCCAGGCCGGCTCCTTTGACTCGGCCCAACCTGCCAGGAGGCCTTTGGGACCCCTTTTCCTCCTTCTCGGGATTTGCAGTTTAAGGGGCCAACGGAGCGGCCTTCCCTCGTGCAGAAGGGTTTCTGGGAGGAGGGGGCTGAAAGCCGGCCGTCTTCTCTGTGCCTTGCCTGCCCACCTGATGTGCACCATAAAAGGGGTGTCGGTGAGGCCGAGGAGCAGCGTTTGACAAAAACAGACCGCCTGGCCCAAACGCTGGTCCTGCTGCGGCTGTGAATCGTCCTTCTGGGCGGAAACCACGCAGGCAATGCGGACAGTTTTACTGTTTCCATAAAACCCCTGAAACTCCCTGGCAATGAAAAGGATCCTGCTTTCAACTGGCCGCTTGTGGCTCTTCGTCTGGCTGTGCCTCGGCAGCCTTCCCCAGCTCAGGGCACAGGGAGGACGGCTGGGGGGGGGGGGGGGGGGATCAGCACGCTCTGCTGCCCCAGAGGACCAGGGGTCTGCAGGAGGACCAGGGGCACAAAAGGGGCCCCTCAAGCGGAGGACGGCCCTGCGTCCACTCACAGGGAACCGGTCTCCTGGGGGGGCTGGTGCTGGATCTTGAAATGGCAAAGGTGCCAATGGCCCAGCTTGGAATTTAAGGACCAGTGGACCTCTGGCTTCAGAGGAGGAAAGGCAGGTGCCCCAGCCTGGCACCGGAAAGAGCCGCAGAACGAATGCAGGGCAGACTCTCACTTACCCACCGGGATGGTCAATCCGTGAATCTTGTCTGCCCAACCGGCAAAATACCGCAAGGTCTTGATGACGCCGTGAAGGTCGACGTAGAAGGCCTGGAGGAAGGGCTTCCCACTGTTCAGTGACTCCATGGTCTGCAAGGCCAAGGGGAGCAAGAATCAAGGCTTGGTTTTCGACCTGGCAGCAGGAACGGCAGTGAGGAACATCCTCCCGCAGGGACAGCTGCTCTTGGGGAAACAGGCTGGTCCATGCCAGCGGGCACTCAGGGTCTGGTGCACGTGAAGAGAGCGGGCGCAGAGCTTCCCAGGACCGCCAATCCATCTAACGGCAGAGGCCTAGCAAGGAGCAACGCAGTGGGGTTCATGTGGAGTGCATCCCCCCCCGCTCCCCCCCCCAGCTCAAAACCCTGAGCCTTTGCGAAGGGGGCTGCTGCTCAGGACATGCGGCTTCCACTGTGCACGGCACCCCAGACAGTTCTGTGCTGGGGGGAGGGGGGCACTGTCTTTTCCCACAGGGTACCTCAAAGCCATTCTGGCAGCAGTTTTCTGGTATGTCCCCCTGAAAGGTGGGGAGGCCCCCCCACAAAAGCACCCTGGCTCTGGTGGCCCAAGGGCCAGAGGTCCAACCCCCAGCAGAAGGCAAAATGCCCTCCGGATGCTGGGACCAAACGGCTACCAGGCAGCAGCTCCCAAAGAGGAGCTGGACGTCCCTCCAGGGAGAGCCGAGCGGGGCTCAAGAATGCCCGTCTCAGCTGCTGCCCGAGGCTCCTCTGCCAGCCGAGATAGCTCCCGTGCCCTACCCCACTCAGGCTCCAAACCAATCAAAAGGAGCCGCCGCAGGCCCTGGTTGAGGAGACATTCCCATATTCCTCTTCAGGAGCCTCCTAAAATGTTTCCTGCCACGGCTTAAATCACTTTTAAGAGCCCCCGTTATCTGCCCACGAAGGTTGCGGCAGAGGAAATGCATCCATGGAAGCCGCCGCTGGGCGAGAGCCATAAATCCAGCTGAAGCTCAGGAGGGCCACCGCTCCTCCGTTTCCCCTGCCGGTGGGGCCGGCAGCCGCATCTGTGGTGGACAGATTCAACAAAGGTTTGGCTCAGGAACCACAAATCCAGCCACCGGCAGACGGCCGACTGATTTGCTGAGCCCCTCCCTTCCCCCGTGGTGATTTTACAGCGTATGCTGGTGGTAAGATGATTTAAGTGTTGACAAAGCTGGAATTAAGATGTTTGCTGGCTTAGTTCAAAGCGTCTGACATGTGGAAAATAACATTAGCTATGCCACCGTGTCGGGTCTCACCACGTGGGGCCTGGGCCATGCAGCTCAGCGCCTCTTGGGCACCCTGGGCGGGGGGGGGGGGGAGCCCAGATCTGCCCCGGGTTGACCAGGAGGGTGTTTGCACCCTTGTCAGCCGACTCTGCCCTGGAGCTCAATGGCTACCCTCGGGCTCTCCCGAAAACGTACCAGGGCTTGAGTGGAAGAAGCGTTTGGAAAGGCAGCGTCCGGCCTCCCCCCCAGTGTCCCACCCGCCTGACTTACGGCAAGGAGGGCCCGGTCTCTCTCCACCAGGTCGGCCAGCTTCTCCAGGAGGTGTCCTCGTTCAGAGGCGTCCATCCTCCGCCACCCCGAGCCCAGGGAGAAGGCCAGCCGAGCAGCCAGCACGGCCTTGTCTGTGTCAGCCTGCCAAATGGGAGACGCAGGTGGGCCGGAGATGCTCCGGGTGAGCCAAGAGCCCCCCCCCCCTTGGCAACCGGAGACCCCCCAGGAAGTCTCGAGGGGCCAGGGGAGGCCTGGATGTCAGCTCTTCCTGGCTGTGGAGCCAGCCAGGTCATTGGCACCTGGCCATTTCCCTCTCAGGCTGGCCTACCGCACAGGGCCGTTGTGGGGAGATGCGAGGACAGGCTAGAAGGCCACTTATCTTTACCTTGTCAGCTTCTTGCACTTCACAGATCTGTTCTCCTGTTGCAGGATTAAATACGGGGAATATTTTCCCACTCTCTGAATTTTGCCACTCATTGTTGATAAAAATCTGAAAAGGCAAGAAAAAAAAGGGAGGGGCTTTTTGGTTTTGGCTAAACTGCAGAGGTTCCCCTTCCTCTTTCCCCTTCCGGCCCTTTTGGGGTGCTGGAAACCCTCCCCCCCCTCTCCTAGCGAGGCCTTTCCCACCGAGCACCTTCTTCCTGCACCCGAGTCCCCTTAGGACGATGTTCCCAGCATCCCCGGTCCCCACCACTGATCCCTCCCCGGGGCCTGTGGGAGCTGCAGCAGCGCTTGCACCAGGGCCTCCCGGTTGGGAAGGTCCCCCTGGGCTGCCCTGGAGGACGGCTCCCTGCCCGCCTCCTTTTCTGCCTTGCGCGACCGGCAGAGACCCCCCCCCGGTTGTGCCTGGCTCAGAGGAGAGGGAGAGCCTCCAGTTTGGGCAAAGCTAGGGCCCTCCCACCGGCCCTCATACCCCCCAAGGTGGACCCCGTTTTCCTCGGGGTGAGGCTCCCAAAAGAACTGGCCGCAAGCAGGCTGAGAGCCACCTTCCCCGTCCAAGGCGGCGCTGCAGGGGAGCCTCTTGGGCAGCTGCATCTCACGGAAACGGGCCGGCCGGGCACAGGAAAAGGCGGCGGGGGAGTCGCTACTGTCAATGGTTAACATTCGCTTCTTCCTGTCCCACCACGCTGTATAAACAAAACTCAGGCTTTGCCAGATCATTTCTGTAAGCGGACTGCCTTCGATTTGGCTGTGAAGGGGGAATATTTACTCTCTCCTCCATACAAAGTACCTCGTCCAACTTCTTGGAAAGGTTTCAAGACCTGAAATTCAGCAGCTGGCGGCTCTACAAGCCCGACCTCATGCGGAAATAACTCACTTTTGGGGAGTTTTAGGCATCTGGTGTCAGGTAGTGCCACGCCACAAGCCCCCTCCCTGCTTGGCGGATTCTTCAAGGATAAAGGAGGCTTCGCCAGCACTTTTAAGAATTTACAGTGGACGTTGATTAAATGCGGAGAGCCGAGCCGCACATTTGATCTGACTTTCATTAGGGCCAGTTCGTAAAAATGCCACCGGCTCGGACAAGGATGACACATTGTGCGAACAGGGATCCCTGCGAAGCCTCAAATGGGGTTTTCGTTCCCCTCGTTTGTTTGGTTCTTATTTATTGCAACCATTGTAGTGGGCAGTGTTAAATCAAGGCGGCTACTTGACAGCAAATGTTGCTATCAGTGAATTATACACAGCTCTTCCCCGAGCCCAGAGGAAGAAAGGGACGCAGCCCCAGGGAGAAAGGGCCCCTTTGTAAGTCATGCCCAGATTGGCACCGCCCAGAGGGGGCATTGTTCCTTCTCAAGTGGGAAAGCGCTCCGGCCCCGCACAATTGCCCTGGAATCAGGGTTAATGAAGGCTGGCTGCAGCCATAAATCAGCTGGGGGATTTTTACAGCTTAATTCAGCCTTAAGCCACAGTGCGTGTGGGTGAATATATGGCCGGTAACTGATTAACCAGGTTTCCCAAGAGTTGCTAAGACGGGGGGGGGGTGGGTGGGGTTCGGACACAAGGGGAAGGGGAGGACTTAGCCATAGGCTTTGTTGTCATCCAACGCGGTCATAGCCCGGACTGGGGGGGCAGGTTGGTTCTGTCAGGCTGGGGGGGGGGCATCATCCTGGAAAGTGTGGGTGCAGAGAGCTCTTGGTGCCCCAACTCTGCCCCCTGAGCTCTGGCTGACCTCCTGCCCCTCGGCTGCACCAACCAGCTGGGCAAATGGCACTTGGTGCCCATCGACCTTCTCTTAGCCACAGGTCAATGGAGTTGTGGGCAGTTTTAAGGAGAGAGAGAGAGGGAGGGAGGGAGGGAGAGAGGGAGAGGAAGAGATTGCCGTCCATTTGGGCCCGGAGGTCACAGTCGCTGCCTGGCCTGGCAAGCTGGGAGGCTCCCATTTCCTTTGCTGGGAGACCCTCCCGTGACCCCCTCTGTGCCGCTGGGGATGATGTCACCGGGCTGCCTCTTGGACCAGCCACCCACCTCCAGCCAGCGTCGCGGCCTGTGGTCAGCCACCAAGGCGGCCTGTGCTTCCCTGGCCCTCGCTTTTCCCTGGCTCTAGTGAGCCCCGTCCTTGGGCTCTTGGACATTCCAGAAGGATTTTCCGCCTTCGGTACAGGAAAGGGATCTCAGCGTCCACTTCACGACAGGCTCCCCCCCCCGCCCCCCCGGGGGAGAAGGAGGTTTCTGGGTGAATCAGAATTTCCAGTTGCCCTGACTGGGTTTCCGTTTCAGTTCCATTGGAGTGATTGGTTTCTCATACGATGCTTGATCCTCTGAGAGGTTTTGAGGCCAAACCTGTAAAACTGGAGGGGGGGGGGGCACAAATGCCAGAGACACGTCTGGAGGAATCACAGCTGTTTGGCCCCAAGCGTCCGTCCTGCGGCTGGAGCTGAGCACATAACGGTACTTTGGGGGGATAATTTCGAAAACACGCAAGGAATGCGGCCGCTTGCCTTTCCCTTGGTAGCTATTTCATAACCCTGCTGACGCAGGGCCAGCACCTGAGCCTCTGGACACACTCCGGCCTTCCTGTCCTCATCCTGGGCAAACGTTTCACGGGCCCTGGGCCGGTTCCAGGGGCCGAGTTCCTGAGAATTCCCCTGCTTTGGGCCGGGGCTCAGCTGCCCTGATCCGCCCAAGGCCACTTCCACGCAGGAGGGGAGGCTTGAAGGCCTGGGCTCAGCCCCCCCCCCCCCCCAGAAGAAGGCTGGCTTGGCCCTTGGACAGAGGAGTGGGGAGGTCGGGGGGCCCTGCCTGAAACGACTTGGCCCTTTAGGAGAAGGGACTGCCAAGGCCAGCCCTCTTCCGTAGGACGAGCACCATGGGGACAGGACCCAAGTAGGAGGGTCGGCCTGTCCTTCTGGGCCCCTGAGACCGAAGCAGGGAGGGGGGGGCTGATTGATTTGACCATTAGTCTTCCAGTTGCCCAATTGGGGGCAGGGGGGACACCGAATAGCAAGTGACCCACATACGCCGGTGGGGTGCCAGGCAGTCGGTGGCAGCTGAGTCTGGGGTCCTCCACCTGCAAGATGGCGCAGAGGCCCCAGGAGAGGAGTCACAACTGCAGAGAGCCCGGACGGAGGGGGAAGCAAAGGAGAGGGGCCGGAGGAGAGCCCGATGGGGAGTCGTGGGGCGCTGAGGGAAGGAGGGAAGCTCCCCTTGGGGGTGGGGCGATCAGAGGGAAGGAAGGAAGGAAGGACCTGCTTTGGGGAGGCAGAGAAAGAATCTGTCCCCAGAAAAGCGGGCAGGACAGGCCCCGAACCACCGGCCGCTGCTGATCACATGGATCTCGTTCAACTCCGAGGACTCCATGGCTGCTTGCAGGGAGCAGCATGACACCAACCAGGCCCTGCTGGGAGAGTTTCCTGGTGGATTGGGCCCCTTTTCAGTAACACAGGCTTGAATTATGCCTCTCTGTGTTGTTTTAGGTGAAGAGAGTAATTCTAGCCTTCCTGTTCATAATCAGCTTCTGGAAATGCTGTTCTTTACCAGAGAACACCTCATCGTTTTAGGGAGGACACAGCCTCTCTCTCTCAATATTTATCTCTTAAAAAGCAAAACAAAGAAAGGCCATGGGAAAAAGACCGGGGCGGGGGAGAAGCCCCCATTCCGCTCGGCTTGGGAGCCGCTTTCTCCACAGAGATGAGAAAAGGGCTGGAATGCCGCTGGCTCCGTCCTTCCCGGCCCCTTTGGCCCGATGCTTCTCCTTGGCATGATAAATCACGGCCGAGCAGCTACCTTGCCCGTTTGATCTCAGCTCAGCCCCGAGATTCAGTGCTGAAGTGAAAAACTCCAGGTCTGATAGGCCAGCGATGAAGCGCAGAGCCCCCTGACCTGGGGAGGCCCCGTGCAGCCCGCCTGCCCGCCTCTTTCCTGCTTTCCCAAGCCCCGCCTAACGGGGGGGGGGGGGTGTTATGACCAAGCCGGACCTAAAGAGGGGTTCCCTGGCCCAAGCGACCCCCACAGCCAAGGGCTGCTCCCAAGGGGCTGCAAAAGCCAAGCTCTGCTCCCACCCCAAGATCTCCCCTGATGGGCAAAAGCCTCTTTCGGGCACTTGCTCATTCCCGGGCACAGGCGGCTTTCTGCCGAGAGCTTGGCCCGGGTGGCAGCGCGCAGGAGTGTCCCGGAGGGGCCCTTCCGTGGCAACTGTCCACGGCAGTGCCGGTGGCGGCCAACAGCCGGAACTGAGTTGCAGGGAGCTCAGAGACGGGGCAGCTTTGGATCCACCCAGGTGGGATTACTTGCTGGGGCCTCGCCGCTGGCTCCCTGCAATCCCTTTGGGGATAGGGACCGGGCAGCTCTGGGAGTCCCATGAAGGGGGGCTTCTTCCACCCCCTCTCAGCAGGTCCCCGAATCCCTCCTTCCTGCTGCAGGGTCTCCGGGATCTTTTCTTGCCCGGATTCAGGCCATGCCGAGCCCGCAGAGTGGCCAGTTTCCAGGGCGGCTCTTGGGCAGCGTGCCAAAGGCCTGCACAGCAAGCTTTCCCCTCTTATCCCGGGGAACTCAGGGTACACACCTGGCCTGGGCCAGCTGGCACCAGGAGCCCCACAGCGGCCCAAGCCCACAAGAGGAGGGCTTTATCCTGGGGACCTTGGGGGCTGGAACCAGCCCTCCCCACCAGCCCCCCCGCCCCCTGGAAGAACATCGGGTGAGCCAGACAGGCCTCTGGCCGGTTCCCCAGCTCCTGGCTCTCCTCTCTGCAGCTGCTGCCCTACTTTATTCACAAACAGCGCCTAGTGCTTGCGGAGAACGTCCCAGCCGCCCAGGACTGTGCAGGCAGCCACTGCGGGGGCGGGGGGGGGGGGGGGGGGGGGGCGGGGGGGGGCTGAAGCTGCACAGCAGGAGCAAGGAAGAGGAAGAGCCCTGATCTTCCCCTCCTGGCTGGCTGCTGCTGCAGCTCTGTGGAGGCTCAGCCAAGGCTGGCAGGTCAAAGAGGGACCCCAGGGGAGACTCCCGGATCCCCCCAAGTGCCTGGTTACAAAAGGGGATCCACCCCCTGCTGCA